AGCTGTTTCGGCTATTGATGCGGCTTTTGGCGGGGACTCTTGCATCGGAACAGGGGTCGCACGAGCTTGTTGGGTGAGCTGCGCAACAACACGTTCGAGATCACCAAGTCGTTGATGCATCACAGAATTTTCCTGGGACAATCCACGAATGGTATGCTCTTGACTGGCAATGGTTTGCTCCCTTTGTAGGATTGCCTGTTGAGCCTCTTGAACAATGCGTTGAACCTCTTGCTGAGCGTCCTGTTGAGTGGCATTAACAACCTGTCGTGCGTTCTCGACATGGCCAAGGGCTTCCTGTCGTGTCTGCTCGATGAGTTGCCTAGCCTGAGCCTCACTTTGTTGCGCTGTTTGTACAGCCTGCTGTGCTTGCGAAGCTAGCTGAGCGGCCTGAACCCTAACGTCTGAAACTTCTCTTACAGCCCTTTCCCTGATCCATCCGGCCTCTTGTCTCGCCTGATCGGCGGCCTGCTGTTGGTGCAAGGCGTGATTGGCTGCCTGAGCAGCGAGGTCGGATGCTCGATGAGCTTGCTGCACCGCAGCTCCAGCTATAAATGCCGCAGCGGGTACGTTAGTCATCGGGTCAGGTAATTGCGATCCCTGTGAAGGAAACTGAATGGCTGGGGAAGCTTCGGATGATGTCGGTTCTGACACGATCGGACCACTCGGGGGTGATGATGGTCGTGTTTGGGCTGCTCGTTGAGGTGTGGATGTGCGAACTGTGGACATAACTGCAGGAACCATGGCTAGGTCAGGGTCATCCGGTTCAGAATCCCTATTTGGGGTTGACCTTGAACGGGGTTCTGATGGCGGTGATAAGCCCGTTGAAGCCATGACACAGCAATGCAACTTTTGCACTCACACGAAGCTAGCTCCACGCGCTTTGAGCAGCGTGTCAAAAGGTGCTACGAGGAGATATCCCTGGATTGGCAGCTGGTTGCGAAACGCTCAAGTGAGCCACTCAAGAAAATACGCCCTGCTGCTTTGCACCTGATGAATTCTGTATTTGTAATTGTACTTGTAGATTGATTGATCCGCACTGCCGCACTATGGTGCTTTATCGAGGGATGTTGCCAAGCTGTATTGAGAATTTGTCTGCAAATCGAATGCCTGTAACTGCAAAATGCTGTACCGCGCAAAGCGACGGTTTTAACGGCTTGCAACAAAGGCTATCGAAGTACCCGGCTGGCGGGCAACTGGGATGCAGATCGGTGGAGCTCCTCGAGGTACTGCGATGGATGCAGGCCCCTTGCCGCCGGAATGAATTGTCTGTTCCGGGACTCGATAAACTCACCAAGGTTCTCAAGTGCGTTGGCAAATCCGCCCGGCCCGAAATGCGGGAAGTTGCGGAACGCCGCGATGCCTGTCTTTTGAGCTTCACGGACAATCGATGCTGTATCGTCAATAAGGGCGTGAACGCCCAGCCCTTGAAGGGCGTCTGCTTTGCCTCCCCTACCCAACCGTTCGTGTACGATTTTTATCGCAGAAAAAGTGAGTCCAGATGTCGCCCGCGCGTGCTCCAGGGCGACCTGGAACTCGCGGCGGCGATACTCGCTTGCAGCCCTGCCCACGAAGGATAGCACTATAAAATTTATAGGTGCGTAGTCCGCTGCAAACTGAACGAGATGTCGGATCACTTCCGGGTTGAGGTGGGGTCCCTGCTGCCCAACGTCAAGAACTCCGTGCCAGTCAAGAGCAACAACAAGCTCCTTGGGCGGCACAGGCCTTCCAGGCGGAGGTGGTGGCGGCGGTGGCGCAGGCGGTGCCCTTCTTGGTGGCGATCGAAAGCGTGAGCCAGCCCCGGAAGTTGCAGCGCTAGCAGCAGCTGCTTGAACGACCTGCGGCGGTGGCGGCTTGACGATATACCCGAATTGTGGCGGGTTTGAGCTCGACTTGCTTCTGGGTTCGGCCTTGTTCAAACCTCGCGGAGGCGCCTTGTACCCGAATGCACTCTGAGTCCGAATAGGAGATCTTGCTCGTGGCGGTGATTTCCTCGGAATATCTGCTTTTGCCGGTACCGAAGAAGCTGCCCTGGGGATTTCCTTGGGCAATGGAGGCTTGCTGCCAAAAATGACCTTTGGTGCGGCCTTTGGTGGCGGCGGTTGAACTGCTCCAATTCTCCGGCTGTGCAACGCGATGGGCTCAGTGTGAGTCGGCGCCTCGTATACGCGCCGAGGCACGTAGGCTGCCCTGCCCGTTCTGATGAATTCCGCGTCTTGCGGAGGTTCCTCTTCCGAGCTGTAGGCGTCGAGGCGGAAGTGCTCCGCCGGCGCCGGGCGTCGATCAGGAGATCGTGATCGCGAGCTCGTGGATGATCTTCTTGGGGGATCTCTCCACGTCTCGTCCGCGAGCAAATACGGGTCGGCCTGACGGAGTTGCCTAGACGTCCGTTGTGCTCGCCGATGAGATGCCGCCTCGCGTGGCTGTGAAGCCTCCCGAACAAGTACCCAGGTGCCGTGCTCGTCAAACCTAGTCACAGGGTATATGCTATTCTGTGGAGCCAAAACGATGGGCCGTGTGGCAAGGGAAGTCCTGGATGGCCTGCCCTCCCGCGCAAGCGCGGGTTCAACACTATGTGCCCGTTGTTCCACAGGGGTAGCAGCAGTTGGTCCTCGTCTCGGAGTCGATGATGGAGACCTCGACCTTCGGGGCGATGGGGACCTCGATCTTTGTGTTGACCGTTCCCTGCTGCTCTCCCGCCGCGTTTCCGCAGCTTTAGCGTACACCCCGCGAAGTGTTGACTTGGCGGCTTGTCTTTCCTCTGCAGATGGCCGGATGCGAGGCAAAGGAGTGCGCGAATCTTGCAGCCAGGAGGAAGCCGAGGGAGGCGTCGGAGGGCGTAGCCAGTCCGCTGCACTGCTCGTTGCTTCCGCCGCGCCTGAGGCTGCGGCTTGATCCTGAGATGGCACACCTTGCGGCAAGACCACACCTGTGGTTTCAACCGATGCGAGACGCTGCTGATAAGCGTTGTCCGCGGCCTGGATCACGTCGAAGGCCTCTTGGTCAAAATTCCACAGGTGCCAACTATCCAATGACTCACGCCAGGAAAAGAGCGCCTCGACCTGTTGCTTCGAGGCGTCCGCAAACCTGATCCACCGGAATCGTCTGTTCTGCCGCTTGTACTCGTCGACGACGATCTGTTGCAGAGTATTGAATAAGCGGGCACGCGGCCCTTTCCCACCGCGAGTGCCGCGGTGAGGGCCGGCTTCCATGTGCGACCAACAGGTCGCAGTCACGGAAGGGTTTGTTTACCCGAAAAGCGTTACGGCTGATAACCACTCAAAGGAGAGGGAAACACAGTTTTGTCAACAACGGGGGAACCCGGGACCTTAAAAGGAACGAACCCCTCCGTGACTGCGACCTCTCCCTTAACCTTGGGGTTAGCGCGAGCAACGCGCTGTTTTCAGCACTTGAGCCAAAGCAGTGATTGAATCATGCTCTGGCATTGACTTGAATGTACAACATGCAACTGACTACATGAGAACCTACCTCATGTACCTCTGGGCCATAAATGTCATCGTGATAATTGACTTTTTTTGGGGGGGTGGTTTCAAATATTCGGCCTCCCATTTCATCTCCAGAGAGTATAGCTGAATGCTGACCCCATATGAATCAACCAACCAGTCTATTTGTAGGGGGGCGGAGCCCGCCCAAAAAAAAAGTGGTCTGATTTTCTAATTCCCCGCATGTCACCCAGAGCCCCAAGAAATGCTCCGGGGTCTACATTTGCAAGGCGAATGAATCGCCAGGGAATGCTCAGCGCAGAGAGTTGCAGCGGCTGCGTCCTGCCATAGTGTGGGTGGTTGCGAAATCCTGCACCACCTAAAGAAACCCTGGAATGATGGTTCACCTGTAAATACCAGCAAACAATGGTTTCCCACGGTTTCTTAGGTGGTGCAGGATTTGGTCCATCCACAGTATTTCAAGTAGGGGCACCGATTGAGCCATCGAGTTTTTGTTTTGACCGCTTGCCGTGTTTGTTCTATCCCCTGTGGTTGGTCGTTCTACTTGCAATAACGCATTTTGCCGTACAGATTTCCTGGAAGGAACCCCCCAACAAAACCTAAGAAATTCGTAACGGACATGTTTGGGGAATGGACCTCCCGGTGGCCAACCCTTCCGTTTCGAAACGGATGTGTTTGATTGTTTGTGGCCCTGTGGTTTGGCCGCAACCCTGGCCGCGGGTGAGCGCATACCCCTTAAAACTCCAAGCCCCGGGGAAGTTAATCTTTTACAGACATATAGCCCACGTTACCCCCGAAAAGTTGAAAAGTTGTGTTTTTAAGAGGTAAGCTTAAGACACTTGAAATCAACGAGTCACTAAATCTGAGTCGAAGAGTGTTCACAGATTTGCTGACTCAACTTGTCACTCAAAAACCAATCGAACCTGCCGGCGGCCTGAAATTGGCGTATCCGCTTGGACAAGGGATGTGAAGGAGTTTAGCTTGTGCGGAGAAGTGGCACATTCTCCCTCCGGGCTCCCCATCCACATGAGAACAAGGGGGGGTTGTTTGGCAACCCCCCCCTACCCACCCCCCATATTTATACAATATGTTTATAGCACAGCCTCCAAATGGGCCTTGTGCTCGACATGGATCTGAAGGTTCCTTGTTGCCCCTTGAAGAAAAAACACAAACACAATGCCAAGAACATACTAAACCAACCGGCCCAAGTGGCGATGTTTAATGTCCACTCCGGATTCATCCACCGGGGTACAGTAGTTCCAAAAAGTGAAGGTTCCCCTTTTTTGTTTGGGACACCAATTTTTCGCCCACCAGCGATTTGTCAAACCCGTTTCAGATTTCAAAGCAACATGCTCTCCAATATCTTTTGACAAGGGTTGGGGGGAGAGTGCCTTCTCTACATAAAGTACTCCAATATTATTTGGGTTTCCGTCCGACGGTGGCCATGGTCTGGTCATTGAAGCACATGTTGCCTTTTGCTCCCCCCCCGTGGCGGTTGATCCATCACGGGTCGACGTCACAGGCTTGCGCCAAAGGAACCGTCTGGCTCCATCATGACACCGGGCGAAGGATCCGCCGAAGTGACCTCGAATCGCAGCTTCGTGCGGCCCGCGTTCTTCCACCCGGCGCCAGAACAAAGGGCAAACATACATAGGTGACCTTTGGGAACAATAGATGGCCCTGGTAAATGGAACAAAACCCATCTTAGGCAGTGCCATATATGTTCAACCAAACTAGCCTAAAAAGGATGCCTATGCAAACATACCCACTTCCTGAGTGTTGCGCGCCACTAAACTGGTCTCACGAAAAGTGTGAAGTGAAACGGTTTACACGTTTGCCTACAATGTTCCATCCTCCAACATCATCCCACAAAACAAAATTATACAATGGCCCGAAAGGTGATTTGCTTGAAACCACTTCGAGGGGAACATATAGGGATTCGTGTCACGACCCTAGATGTCGCATGGCACTGGGGAATGATTAAAACCTGAGCGAAGCCAATGGAATACCTGTGCCAACCTGGGCCAACATCCAAACAGGGCTCTTATGACTACCACCAGGCCCTTCAGACGGTGGAGACACACACCAGATTTATTGGCCTTCATTTGGGATGCTGCAAACAATATGTGTCTGACTCTGTTCCATTTGTGGCCCGAACATGTAGGAAAAGTCTGACCGTTTAGAGATGCACCCCACTGGCCTCACGCATCCAGACTTGCCAACGGCATAGTGGCCCAACTGCCAGCCTTGAAAAAACACCCCAGCGGAAGCCGAAAGGTAACCACCAAAGCGGTACATTTCGGGCAGCCCGAGCACGATGAGGAAAACAAACGCACACAAACAAACACACCCGCACACACACACACACACACACAAACACAAATACGAGCAAGAACACAAACACAAACACATGTTTCTACACGCGCACACACACACACACACGCACAAGCACAAATACAACTAAGAACGCAAACACAAACACACATTTAAACGCACCCACCGACCCACCCTCCCACCTATCCACCTACCCACCCACGCGCACACGCGAATGCGCGCGCGCACGTATGCCGGAACGCCCGCACGCAAGACACACCGCCTCTGTCATAACATTATTCTTGAGGTACCAGCTGCAAAAAGTGAAGATGATCAGCCAATGCTTCTCACCATGACATGTTGCCAAAAGTAGCCTTGAGGAAACTAGCCTCAAGTTCTTTTTTCAGTCCGGATGGAAAACAGATCCCAATAAGAAAACAGATCCCAATGCTCTCCGGCTAGAATTTCCTGAGAACCTGATTCACCCAGGAGCCTCCGCCAATTATCCGATCTGTGGACACGTCACCAACGGGTGATCCCCAGGAAGTGAGGCTGCGAAGGATTCAGAGTTTGAACAACCCAGCTAGGTCTCCAGTAGTTTTTTGGGGGAGGGTTCCCCTATTAAAGTAGACTACAGTAAAAAGGGCACCCTTCTTCTAACCTCTCCACTGGACCTAGCCAGGCAAGAGGAGGCACCAGAGTCGGTCGTGCAATGGCAAGGTGGATTGTCGACTCCTGCCTCTTCCACCGGTCCCGGCTCCTGCTCGAAGAGGATCTTCGAGACTCCATCCTGGACGGAGTCGAAGCCAAACGACCAACACGAAGACGCAGTTTGCGACAGAACCTTTGAAACTGGGCTTTGAATAGAGGTCACAAGCTGGCAGGTTTCGGTTTTTGGGGAGCGGCTCGGCTAGGATTCCGAAGAAAGTTCCGGGGGTGGCGTGTCATCGATGGAGCTCACATAGCTTTTGGGGGTCCCCAAAAAAAAGACACGGCCATGTCACCTACTTGGATGTTCGGCCAAGTAAGTGGCTTTAACAGGGCAAACTCCTCTGAACGTGGAACTAAGTGGGTTCTCACCGAGTGGTTACCCACATGGCACCTGTGAAGAGGTACTGGAACATTAATTTCCTTTTGAAGGGACCGGGTCCCTGTCAGTTGATAATTGACCACGTGGAAGGGGCTACTTGCACCCTGTTTCACAACCCAACAACAGGGTTCACACAAAAAAAATGGAACTCAGTGGTTCCTCACCGAGTTGCCCACTGAGCGTTACTTGCCCGTGGCAAGCAAAAACCCCCAGCTCTCCTTCTCCGGGGGGGACATCAAGGAGGTCCGCACCGCGCCCATGAACAAGGAGCCCTCCGGCACCTCCATGCCTCGCGGCAGCCGGCTAGCTGCGGGAAGAGCCATTGCTCAATTAGCAGTCCTGCATGGCCTTCCCCAGAGTGCCCTACCCCCCGCCCCCCGGCAAACTGAGCTTCCCTCTAAGCATCTTGAGTGTGTTCCCTCTTGAAAGTCTTGCCAGCAACAAAAAAGGTCAGCTTTTTCCATGATTAGAGTTAGGCCCAGTTAACAGTAGACACCTGGGAGGTGGGTTGCCATGACTAACAATGAAGCAAGGAGTGGAATCCAAAAGGTCAATAGGGTCAGCTTTGGACAACTGAGGAAATCAGGGTCATCTTCTTCTTCCACGCGGCTGAGGGGATCAATCCGCGCCACATGCTGTACATCAGGGTCATGGTCAAACTTTTTGCAACCGACCCTACAAACCAACCTACAACCGACCCTACAAACAACCAAACCTTTGCAACCAACCCTGCAAAGAGCGTCGAAGTTGCCACCGTTTGGCTTGTCCGGCCCCTGCAGCTGCTTCACCTGGTGGCTGTTTCTTTCTGCATGGCAGCTGCGCATGGACACAACCAATGCCACAAACCAATATGCTAGGGGTAGCTTCCATTTCCATTCTTTCCAGGGATCCTTTTCTAGAAAACCAAAAACCCCTGAAAAAATGGCTGGTTTTTTAAAAGACCGATGGCTGAAAGGGGGAATCAACCGAAAAGAAATATGGCTGGAAGGAGCCATGGGAATACTGGCATAAGCGTGGATGAAGCGAGCTACCAACTGGCGCAACCTGCATGTTGTCGGCAAATGGGTAGGAGGTTCCCAAAATTCCTGATCTAGTCTCCCCGCAAAAAGGCGATGAAAGCATGAGTTGCAACGTTGGCACTTCTGTTCTTATTGTGTGTGTGTGTTGTCGTTTCTGTTGGGGGCGGGGGGCGGAGGTTTAAGGACAACCACCATTTGGGGGGATCCCCTAAATTTAAACAAAGACACGCCCATATATGCATCCACGTGCGGAATGTACCGAGTTGTTCTAAGATCAGCCAATGGCAAGGGGGTGCCCTTTACCATTCCCCTAACATATTATATGTTTTCCCGGATTGGTGGCCTACAGGGTCGCGAGTGTGGTGTCCGAAATGTTGTGCAAACCGAATCTGTGCGAACCTGTAGTTGCTTAAGTGTTCCTTTTAAAACAAGGGAACAAAAAAACCTCTGATCAGCAGTGATAGGTTCCCTTTCAAGTCAGGAAAAATAAAGCAAGCAAGCATAATTGGAAGAACATATTAGGCCAAACGAAAGAACCAAGGGGTTGAGAAAAATGCGCCCTGGGCCCACCTGGCCAGCCCAGGCGGCTCTGGAAAGACGAACGCGACTTGCCCCGCAAGCCCTGGGTGCTGGATCCGGGTCAGTATAAGGGTACCCGGTTTTCTATACTGGTCAGTATGATAAGTCAACAAAAAAAATCAACTGGTCTAGGTCCTCCAGTAGTTTGAGGTTAGAATAAGTTGGCAACCAACTTTTGTTCTAGTCTATTTTAGTAGGGGGTTCCCCTCCCCCACAAAAAGGATCGGTAAAAGGGCGCCAATTGCTGGGGGACCTGTAGTTAAGCGCACTCGGGGGACTCAGTGGGTCATAGCCCAAGTTTCAAACAACTTACTCGGCAACAAACACCCAAGCACGCTTCCGGCCTTTCCAGCCCCGTGGCTCTGGGAACCTTCCGCTTCAATCGCGGAAGGCTCCGTGGAACCTCCCAGGCGTCTTCCAGAAGCCGTGTCTCCGAAACCTCTCGGAAACCACTCCGCTAACTTCTTGCAGAATTTCACATTCCTACAATCCAAGAGATCGACCGTTGCAATCCCCCCCAAGGATCTTCCGTTTTTGTCTTGATCTGGAGATCCAGGGATCAACCGACTGTTTCAACCATGTTCAACCTCTCAGGTACCCTTCCTTACTTCCGATCGAGCGAATTCGCGAAACACAAGTCTGAACCTTCTTCTCTGCCACAAAAACTTGACCTTCCAAAACTCCGAACCGGAACTCAGGGACCACTTTTCAAAACGGCCCCAAAGCCCGGCCGCCTGGTTGCTGAGGTCCTGCAATCCCTCCAGCTGTCGGGCGAATTGCTCCTGGACGCAGGGGCTCTCTCCGAATAATTTTCCTCAAGCGCGGCGTCCTTTTTGGAAGAAGAGATGGGTCTCCCCGGTTTCCCCACATGGAATCAAACTCAATCTAAACCAGGGCCTTCTATTTTTAGCTACGCTCACCTAGGACACCTCTCAAGTGGCCTCCCCCAGCCCAAGAGGAGGACCTGGTAGCAAAAAGCCTTGCCTTTTTTTTTGGCACCCCGTCCCCAGTAACAAGGAACAGGACCAAAAACAAGTGAAAAACCTAAAACGTGCCAAGAACAGTGAAGAGAGGATGGTCATCTGCCAAACTCCCCCGTCCACTTCCATGACTTCCATTGGAAAAACGGGGGCAGCTTGCCAAGTAATCAAGGGCTCTTTTAGCCTGCGCGTCGGCGACCTGGCACATGCCCGGACAGCGGGCACGCAGCCTGCGTGCCTGCTTGGCTTCCCAACAGTTCAGCCGGGCGCAGTAGTTTGACAACTCCCCCAAAACATGGCAAGAAACAAGACACTCCCCACAGTTTTTAACATGGAACCGACACACAAAGGTGAGTTTCCCTTGCTCCCTTCTTCGAATATTGAGAAAGTTGCTCTGAGGCGCAGTACAATGCACCGCCTGTTTGGCATTTCGGGCGTTCCCTTGCTTCCTGCACGCTGCTCACACTCCGGAGATTTGGAGTTGCAAGCATTCGGTTGGTCAGCGCAGGTGTCAACTCAGCACCCGTTGCTACTCGCCTACACAAACAGGGATCCTTACATTATACACCTGAACATTGCCTTGTAAATTTGTTTTGGTGGAAAAAGCCATGTTTCAAATGGGCAAACTGTATCTTTTAAGGAGCCCTGAACAATTGTGGTCCATAGGTCCCTTTTCAGGGGACACCATCCAATCAAGATCCGTGGATCGTAGATGTCGGAGCTGCCGAGCCGAGCTGTTCCGTTGCGAGCTTTTTCCCGGACATTTGGCCAGAAGACCTGCAAAATTTGACACAAGCTGCTGGCTAAGAAGGCGAACTGAAAATGAGCAGCTACACCTCCTGCAAATTCACCACATGTGGGTCCCGAAAAGCCGTTTGCCCTGGCCCAAAAGAAGTCGCCCTTGCTATTTACTAAAACTTGCCCGTCTTCCACACAAATGACTGTTTAGGCCGAAAGGGAGGGAGTGGCTCACCTTGGATTTCATGACAATTGTGCAGTGCCTGCCCAAAATGGTACGGAAAATTAGTTGGAGTTCCCCTTGTTCCCCTACTTGGATGTTTATTGCCAGCCAAGTTAGTAAGCTGTTGGCATTTCATAGGAGCTCTTGGTAAGCTCTCTGTTTGACACCTTCTTCGCTGAGGGCCCCATTGCAAACAAGCTTTTCAAGGTGCTACAAAAGACTGGCTAGAACCTTCAATGAACTTCAAGGTGCTCGCCAGACCTCCCAAAATCTATCTAGAACCCTGAGCCCCGATTGCAGCAGCCAAGCCCATTTTCCTCCCAAAAAGACCCCCCCCCCCAACCTATTTAGAACCCTGCCCGCTGCCTGCAGCACGTTCAACCCTGTGCTTCCCTTCATTGGCAACACCCCGATGCAAACAACGCTTCTCAAGATGCAATCTGGTGAAAATATAAACCTCCCAGTGCCCTCTAACAAGAACCCTCGTGAGTTCAAGCCAAGAAGCCCCAAAGTTCTACTTAGAACTAAATGAGGCCAAACCCCCAGAGACCCCCAAATGAAAAGGTTGTGAAGAGGCTTCCAAGATACTTATATACCGGTTCAGTGGAGTTACGCCTGTTATTAACTAGTGGGTTAACCAGGAAGGTCACCGCTCATCCATGTTGCAATACTGGACGAAATCTCCATTTCGGCACCACCGAACTCAGAAACCCACCGGAAAGACTTTCCATTCGCCATGGACAATACCAACGTTTTCAGTTTCAGATGCCCAGTGGCCACGGGGAAAGAAGGGCATCCTCTTTTTTGGATGGTTGACTTTAAAGGAAAGCCCTTCCCCAAAATCAGGAGAGTGGCGGACTCGCAACCATCCGGTTGAAGGATTGGCATGCGGCCTCCAAGTAGACCCGGAGCTTCCGCATCTCCGTATCGAAGCCCAGGGGCGGCCCGTCATCATCTCCCTCCTCGCGGGGAGGTGGTTGGGGTGGGGTGGGGTGGGGTGGGGTGGGGTGGGGTGGGGTGGGGTGGGGTGGGGTGGGGTGGGGGGGGGGGTGGGGTGGGGTGGGGTGGGGTGGGGTGGGGTGGGGTGGGGTGGGGTGGGGTGGGGTGGGGTGGGGTGGGGTGGGGTGGGGTGGGGTGGGGGTGGGGTGGGGTGGGGTGGGGTGGGGTGGGGTGGGGTGGGGTGGGGTGGGGTGGGGTGGGGTGGGGTGGGGTGGGGTGGGGTGGGGTGTGGGTGGGGTGGGGTGGGGTGGGGTGGGGTGGGGTGGGGTGGGGTGGGGTGGGGTGGGTGGGGTGGGGTGGGGTGGGGTGGGGTGGGGTGGGGTGGGGTGGGGTGGGGTGGGGTGGGGTGGGGTGGGGTGGGGTGGGGTGGGGTGGGGTGGGGGTGGGGTGGGGTGGGGGTGGGGTGGGGTGGGGTGGGGTGGGGTGGGGTGGGGTGGGGTGGGGTGGGGTGGGGTGGGGGAGGTGGTTGGGGGGTGAGGGTGGGTGGGTGGGCGGGTGGGTGGGGTTTTTGCCGCGGATCGTTGCCATTCCGGCTCCACCGAACTCAGAAACCCCAACGGAATGGGTTGATTCCTCAACGTAGATACCCACCAACGGTGTGGGTTTAACCGTGTCATCCAATTCCGTGCTGCGAAGCTGATTTCGCAAGCATCCACACTAGGATCACCTGATAAGATGTAGAACCATTGGAACACCTGGTGCCAATGGAGCAACCCGGTAAGCAGCACTCGATTCTTGATTGCCATGGT